TCACAGTAAAACATTACACTTCCTGTTCTCAGGGGCGTGGCCTAAGTGATGTCATCATTCGACCATAGGGTATTGTAGAAGACCCGATGATGATCAATCACAGAAACTTTGATGCTTCTGTGAGTTTCTGTGTAAAGATATAGCAGTTTATTTTTTTATGACGAGTAGGTGAACTTTGACCCCTGCTAACCCCCCTTCAGCATACTCAAAAACGCACCGTTTAGATAACTTTAGATGGGACATGCCTTATGAACAGACTGACCGAGTTTGAAGTCGATCAATCAAAATCCCTAGGAGGAGATAGATCAAATACAAAGGCTGTAAACGGCAAAAATCGGCAAAAATGGGGTCAAAATGGGAACTTCAATCAAAAATGGCTGACTTCCTGTGATACTTGCACTATGACATTAATTGTAAATTTTGAGCGTCTTGGGGAGTTCTACAAGTGTACCAAATTTCATGTGTCTACGATAAAGTAAGTGAATAGCAGAGGGTAAAAAAGGGTGTTTTTCCAATTTCTAGGTGGCGCCGTAGAGACATTTCTGTTGCAATTTTTGCTACGACTTTAAAATACGTAAATTTTAAACAGGCTTAAGGCCTCCGCCAAGTTTGGTGAGTTTTTGAATATGATAAAGCCCCCAAAAAGCCAATTCATTTGGGTGGAAGAATAATAATAATAATAATTAAAGCTGCAAGCAGCCTCGAGCGGCCCTCGCAGCCAAGCGCCGCTCCGGCCTATTGCCACCGCAGGGTACTAGCAACCGCCGCCCGACGCCAGCCACCACAGATACTCTCACGCGGTTTTCAGCACCTCCGCCCGCACCGCGGAAACTGTTGCTCCGTTTCCATCAACGCTCCCCACGTTCTAACACAGAAGTCGTTGCGCGGTTTCCGCGCCCGTCCACCAGGCGGTACGCGTCGATGCGTTCGGCGGCACTTCCTGACGACGCACAAAAAATGTGGTGCAGATTCGTTGATATAGCGAGGAGATATAGCTGGCGTATTAATGTAGTTGGCGCAGTGGAGTCAAAATACATTTCAATGTTGTTGGGGTGTTTAGAGGTCAACAAAGGTCATACATATCCAATTTGGCGCCAGTCGGATGATCAACGTATCATTTAGAGCCTATTATATGCACATGGTGAAGAACTGCAGTTCGCCATTTCTACACCCAATGCGGTTTGGTCAGCAGCCAGCATTCACAGAGTTCATCATCTTGTCGTTTTAAGTCAGTATTCACATGATGAAACCCATATATGATACAATAACAGTAAAACTCACAGGAGAAAAAACTGGTGATTGCCTTTGAAAAGTGGTTGGGGCTAGGGTGATTTAATCAAGTGACCATGGAAATGTGTTCAGGATTGTTCTATAGAGAAACACAGGAAGTGTGATGCAGCTGTGATCTTGCATTTGGAAGTTTTTTTAATGTTTATGTTTCATGGCAAATAGTGAAAGTTTTACACTAAGCCACACCCACATGCTTTGATGTTAACTGCAACTGAGTTCTAAATGCAGTGCAACTTTAACATTTTCCTAAAATGAGTCAGGAAAATGGTAAAGGTTAAGATGTATCAGTTTAATAAACCCTTCTGATCAGTAATAAACCAAGGGCAATGCACATTCAGAGAGCACAGTTAACTTTCAGTACATTAGAACAAAAGCACAGGTTTAATCTCTCTCAATAATTAGGTATTAATCACAGCAAGTGGTCCAAGTAAATATTACAACCCCAATGTATCAGTCTTAAGAACTCAGAACGTTGTAAGATTGTCACTCTCAACAATCGTAACCGATCATCCTGTAGTGTGTGGTGTGTTACGACTGATCGAGTTCAGTCGGTGGAACGTCGGGACCGCTTTGATCTAAAATCGGGGATATTGACTGTCTTTAATCATCTTTGCTCATTCATCCAATCTCTGTGGTGTTCCTCCGACTTTTTTTTATCTTTTAATGAAAGTAATTATAAAATTATTGCACAGAGTACATCTGGTTGAGAAGCACATTCCAATCTTTGGTTGAAATGGCGCATTTGATTTTATTCTGCAGTCATAATACAATTTTAAACAATATAATAAGTTTCAATTAAAGGAGCTGGAATAGGCTACGTTAAGCTTTCGCGGTCAGTTGGGGGGAAAGGATAACTCCCATTTGATTTTCTAAAAACATTGAAAACAGTATTTTTATGAAAAAAAAAAAAAACTCACCTCCATGTTGCGATGCAACAAATATAATCCTTGCTTACGATATCTCCAGTTCTTAATCCAAAGCTTTGATTTTTTGGTTACGTCTTTTTTGGGTTAAAATAAGTCCGCAAACTAAAGTTACCACTTCAACGTCGTTGTCCATGTTTGTTTGTTTACTCCAAATTCAGCTGTGGTAGCGCAGAATTTTAATTTGAAGGTATTTCGTAGCTGGTATTAGAATGTGTTCGAGTGAAACCTCACACTCTTAGAACGAACCCGTTACACCTACGATTTTAAATAGGCTAGTGTGTGTTCTCTCACGTTTTCAGAATTGGCCGACTTTTCTAAAATCGTGTAGTGTGAACTGAGCTTCACTCACCGCATCTCCAGTTACCATTTTAAGACGAACGGCAATAAAACTCCTCTCCAACAGACCGTTCCGGCTCATGAGCGTCATTCGGGTCTGCAGCTCCAAAACCGAAGCAAACGTTAGCGTGGTCCGGTTCTGTGGCTCCATAAACCAGGCATAATGTTCAGGAAAACTTAGCTGCTCCAACAGTTTAGTAAAAAAAATGTACAGTCCACAGCGTAATGCGCCGAACCTCAACCATGTACGATCTCCTGCCGACTGCCAGTACGTACAGTAAGTATTAGCACAGCTACAGTACGTGCAGTCCTTCTCAACCAATCAAATTGCTTAAATTTGTTTTTGCCCTTGACTGGCCATTAAGGCAGAGACGAGGGAAATGATGCATTTACTTGCGGTAGGAAATAACAGTCATTAACAAAACGCTACATTTACTCCGTGTTTTAAGCCAACAAAAATTATCTTAGGGCTTACATATAACATTTCAGGTTAAATGTAATCGCTGTCCTTTTGGAAATCTCACGGCAGACGCGCTGGAAACGTTTTACGGCCGTCGGAAAAAAAACCGAACTTAATCTGTTTTCTCATTGATGGAGTACCACTGACACCTGCTGGCGCAATAATGGTATTGCGCCAGCAGTACCAGTATTGCGCCACCAGGGGCCAGTCGTACTCCATCAACACTGACCAGAATGTGTTACTCAGCCGGGCTGAGTAACACAATAAAAGTTTTGCTGAATGACGATGTTTGTATTATTTCTAGCCAAAATTAATGAATGTTTGTACTCTAACCCACAAAACAAAATTATTAAAAAAAATAAAACTTTAAAAATAAAATTGAGAGCCAAACGTATGGCAATGGCGTTACAGGTCACTTCGCCACGCCGCCACGCCCACCTGCTCCATCGAAGCTGGTCGGGGTTGGAATCCTCAATACACCAACATGTCTTCTGTGTCTGGGCACAGTTTTATGTTGATGAGGTCAAAGGGGTCAGATAGCGACCTTTGACAGTAAAACATGACACTTCCTGTTCTCAGGGGGCGTGGCCTAAGTGATGTCATCATTCGACCATAGGGTATTGTAGGACACGCGATGATGATCAATCACAGAAACTTTGATGCTTCTGTGAGTTTCTGTGTAGGAGATATAGCAGTTTATTTATTTATGGCGAGTAGGTGAACTTTGACCCCTGCTAACCCCCCTTCAGCATACTCAAAAACTCACCGTTTAGATAACTTTAGATGGGACATGCCTTATGAACAGACTGACCGAGTTTGAAGTCGATCAATCAAAATCCCTAGGAGGAGATAGATCAAATATGAAGGCTGTAAATGGCAAAAATCGGCAAAAATGGGGTCAAAATGGGAACTTCAATCAAAAATGGTTCACTTCCTGTGATACTTGCACTATGACATTAATTGTAAATTTTGAGCGTCTTGGGGAGTTCTACAAGTGTACCAAATTTTATCTCTCTACGATGAGTAAGTGAATAGCAGAGGGTAAAAAAGGGGTGTTTTTACAATTTCTAGGTGGCGCCGTAGAGCCATTTCTGTTGCAATTTTTTCGACGACTTTAAAATACGTAAATTTTAAACAGGCTTAAGGCCTCCGCCAAGTTTGGTGAGTTTTTGAATATGATAAAGCCCCCAAAAAGCCAATTCATTTGGGTGGAAGAATAATAATAATAATAATAATAATAATAAACAATAGGAAAACAATAGGCCTTCGCAGCGCTTAGCTGCTCGGGCCTAATAATAAACAATAGGAAAACAATAGGCCTTCGCAGCGCTCAGCTGCTCGGGCCTAATAAACAATAGGAAAACAATAGGCCTTCGCAGCGCTTAGCTGCTCGGGCCTAATTATTGACCCTTGAAAGGGTCTCCTTGCATTATCATGCCATTACCATTATCATTTTTGCCAACATTTTTTGAAGTGGTTTAGTTTTCCCTAAACTTCACAGTTACTAGATATTTTGTTGGTTTTTTTCCTCATAAAACCTCAGTAAAACACATTGAAATTTGTGGCAAAATCTGAAGGAGTTCAGCTGTTATGGATGTTTGTCTTGCACTGTTAGTGTGAGTTGCTGTGTCTCAAAACCAGAAAGCTTGTACTATCTAGCATTTGACAATGGAGCAGACTTCCCAGATTAGTGCCTTTGCTTCCCAGTGAATTCATCCTGCAGCCAAAAAAACGGAACATAATTTTTTACACCATTATGGAAGTTTGGAGATGTCCCAAATATAAAAAGTTTACTGTTAAAGAAGCTGGTTCAGCATTCTTTCGAAGATCTGTCAATGACAAAAATGTCATTGATTACTTGTGTTCCGACTCGCCACAGGCAGAAAATTTCTAACTGGCATAATGATGCCTGGGATTTAGTTCTGTTCAAAAATGTATCCAGCTCCAGCAGCTTAATAAGGGTTCATGTGTTTCTGTCCCCTGATCAGGGATTCTCTGGCAGCACAGCTGGAAAGCAGTTTGACCAAAGCGGATTCTGAACAACTGGCTCGCTCCATTGCCGAGGAGCAGTACTCGCTTCTGGAGAAGGAGAAGATCATGAAGGAGCTGGAGATCAAGGACATGATGGCGAGACACAAACAGGAGCTGAGTGAGAAGGAGGCCACCATCGGCTCGGTGAGAAATGGTCACGTGGCCTGGAGTTTGGCAGTAATCGTGTAGAATAATGTTTTATTTGGCCTCAGCACTTACAGACTTGACGGCATCATACAGAAAATATTTGCACTAAAATATTTTTCTTAAAATTAATGCCAATAAAGTTAATTAGTTTAAACAGTATAATAAAATTACACAAAATGTGTTTTTTGAATATCAACAACACCTAAAATGTAGCAAGCAAAGGCTTAGAGATTATATTTAAAGTAAACTTGTAGAAGGTGATTTATCCAAAAATGTATTTCTTGTAAGGATTGATGTTTTTTATATATATATATATTTACCAAACTCTATTAGAAATCATTCTTTGTTTTATATTTTACAAAAATGCTAAGATTATTGGAAAACCATTTTTTTATTCATCATTTTTCTGCTTTGATGTCATTAATGTTAACCTTATATTCAACAGTTTGTTTTTTGAAATGATTTATTTAGCAAAATGTTGGGAGTTTTATCTCTAAAGGTATTTATTTCATTGAGTCTGTTTACATTTCCAACGTAACACTCTGGTATCTGCAACTCTCAGATAAGAGACTTGAATCCCCTGACTGTTTGCATTCATGACTCACATTTCTAATTTACATATAAAATATTCAGCTTAGTTTCAACTACAAAGTGCTGACAGTCATATCAGTAACCTAAAAAGCGAAGGCATGAAAGAAAATAGATGCTCAGTATGATCAGCAGCAAGCACCATCATGTTTTGGTACCTTCACTTTTTCTGCTTCCTGCAGGCTTCTGTTTTTGAATAACTTCAACAGATTAGTTGTCTGTAGCCAGAATCAGCTCACATCTCCTCTGTCTTCTTTCTCAGCTGGAGGAGTCCAACCGAACTTTGACAGTGGACGTGGCCAACCTGGCCAGTGAGAAAGAAGAGCTGAACAACCAGCTCAAAGACCTTCAGCAAGGTGAGGCTCCCATTGTGCTTATGAGCACCGGACAGAATAAATCTCCACAAAAGGACAATTTGAGATGACGGGTGTGAAAGCTGTCTTGGTCTACTTCAAACACTCTATTTCAAAACTACAGATAACTAAACACTCTTTCTACTTTCTGCACTGATCACAGTTTTACTTGTCTAACCAAGATGGAGGTTATATAGTAAAATAAAATGGTTCTCAAAACACCAGTTCCAGATTAGTCTCCTTTTTATTTTTTGAGACCAGTTTGCCCAGATAAAAATAAACCTATTTTGTCATGTGACTTTATATGTATTGAAGAATATATATGTCCATAACTACTAAAATTATATGCATGTTTGCCTTTCTAGAACTGCAAAAAGCCAAAGAGTTGAAGGAGGAGCTGGAAAGTCTAAAAGTGACTTTTGAGAGACAAGTACAGACTGAAAGGACTCTGAAAATTCAGGTGTGTGGACCTACACAGGTCTGAAAACATATGCATATTTTCTACACTTCTCAAGATAAAAACAGATAACCTCTGTTATGCCAGCTTTTGTTAAGAATAGCTCAATGCTACAGGCTTGTATTAAACTCTGGACATCTGCAAAGAAGCATAAAAATTCCCTTTCTCACAGCAGCATCGATTCCTGCAGCCCTCTTCGCTTATTCCCCGGGTTTATATTTACCACAAAAGAGCTTTGTTTTACTGCAGCTTGTTTTTTTTTTTTTTTTTTTTTTTTTTTTTTTTTTTTTTTTGCTCCCAGGCTGTGAACAAGCTGGCCGAGGTGATGAACCAGAAAAAGGAGAAGGGGCGAGGGGGCGTCCGAGCTGTCGACTCAGAGGTGCACAAGAAGGAGAAGGAGAACAGGAAGCTGCAGCTGGAGCTGAAAGCAGAGAGACAGAACCTTAACAGCATCATCTTCAAATACCAGAAGGAGCTGGATGACATGCAGGCGGTCAGTGCACCCACGATGCCCAAAATACACCCAGAATATATACTTGTTACCAGAAAACATCTGCTGTTTTGAAACGTCAAACAAAGATGCATTTTCTTTTTACTGGTCAGCTTGTTCTGCAGAGCTGGATGTAGATTGACATTCCTTTATTTTCAATGCAGACAAGAGAGGAATAAACTGTTTGTCGAACCCATGACTATATGTTGAGATTAGGTCAGAAGTTTAAATACACACGTCATATTCATGCTTAACTTATTAATTTTGGTGATGTGGCTCAGCAGTTATTTTCCAGGACAGATTTATAATCAAATATAAAGCTTGAGTGTTTTTTTTTTTTTTTTTTTTTTTTCAAAACCAAAAATGGATTCCTATTTGAATTCATTGTGGGTTTTTCAAAAATGTAGTCATGTAAGCTCAAATATATGCACAAACTCCTGCATCCCTGCATCTTACTGATAGACAATCATCTAAGTTTAAGTGGGAGTGTCTGAGTATATCTGATCCTGTGCCCATATGACATTTGATCCTGTGTGATTTAAAGAAAACCTCTTGAACCCAACTGTTCAAAAATTATGGAAATTAATTTTTTAAATTATCAGTTCATTCAAAATGATGGCCAAAGTTGAGAGTAACTAACACAAATTATTGGAGCATTCATGCCCATGATGACTCTATAACACTGTAATGTGAAAAAGTTCATCAGACAAATTTAAATTCTGAGCCAACGCTAAAGAATAAATTTAAAAAAACTTTGTGTACCACTATTTGTTTGTTCTGGATCAATTGAATCTAAGAAAAATCTAAATTACAAGAAATCTAAGTCAACTTTACATGTACCCAACTCAGTTTTGAGTGTTTGTGTGCACAGATGATGATCGAAGAGACCCACATGCGCCAGGACCTGCAGATGGCTCTGGATAGTAAAGACAGCGACATCGAGCGGCTTCGGTGTCAGATTACGTCCCTTAGTGTTCACTCTCTGGACTCCACCAGCATCAGCAGCATCAACGATTTGGAAATGGCGGACGGATTCCCAGGTAGGCCCTCAAACTGAAATCGTCGCTACATATTTCATGGTTTTAAACTCCATTATTGAAACCTCCGACAAACTTCTGCATGGATTCCAACTCTTTGCTTCTTCCACTTCTTTCTCAATGCTTTCTATTTTTCCTCACTACGTCCTTGCTTTCGTGCTCCTGTACAGTGAGCATTACTCACTCTCACACCGCCGAGTCAATGTCCTTCACCTACCAGCGCACGCACAAATCTGTCCGCGTTGACACTCGGCCCAACCTTCACTTAACCCGGGCTCTGTTTGACTCTGAGTCCGAAGATGAGGAAGAAGACAAAGAGCCTAAGGAGCATTGGCAGCGCCCTCTGGCTCTGACCTATCTGCCGTCCCGTGAGCCAGAAGCTGGAGGTGACCCTGCATGGTGTGGAAGTCTGAAACGCAACCCTATTTTGCTAAAACTGTTTCTAGCAATTTTTGTCCTCGGGCTTGTCACTACTTTAATGCAGCTAATCCGCTCCCTGGTTTGACTTTCAGTGTTTGCGGAACACATTGAAAGCCATAGCATGGCACTGCTGAACTGTCCTGAAATTGAGACAGACTTGAATTAATGTTGAGATTTTTACAGACTCAAGATTAATTCTTCCTTCTCTACCAAAATCCTCTCCTTGCTTTGTGTGCACATTTTCTTGTAAATACTGCTGTCATTACTAATTGCGCTCCATGACAGCAAGGAAGCAGGATTTCCTGTCTGAAGATCCTTTGTCTTAGCAATGAATCATTTCCTCCCAGAGTAATGAGTGCCTTGCTTGAAGTAAATGCCACAAACACTTAAAAATGTGAAGGTGTTATTTTAAGTGATTGAAGGCTGTCCTTTTAATGCCAGCATCTTCCTGTTGTATTTTTTATTTTATTTTTTTTTTCCTTTCTGCTCCTTAGATTCCAGGCTGGAGGACTGGATCTCACTTCCTTCCAAAAACACAAAGCGATTTGGCTGGGACAAAAAAGTAATCAGTCTAACAGTGCTTCTTGTATTTAAGGGTTGTGTTTTCTTCGTTTTTAGCAATCTTTGATCCTTTATTTTCTTTTCTTTTGCAGTATGTGGTCATAAGCAGTAAGAAAATCTTGTTTTACAACAGTCAGATGGACCAAGAACAAGCTAACCCGTTCATGACCCTGGACATCGAGTGAGTCACTGAAAGCTGAACATCTAACCCACTCGTACTAAACAAGGATTACTAACGAAATCTAATGGGAACTGTGGTAAAACGTTGGGGGAAAACAATCATGAAAAAATGACCACACCCAATGCCAGCCTGTGTATCTTTTGAACACATTTCTAGATATGGATGCTTGATATCAATACTGGGACTCTCCCCATGTTCTGTCTGGCAACTGTCAATAAAAGGCCAATAGTGCCAAAAACATTTTATTTATTTATTTGTTTTACTACTAATACCGAGACATTCAAGGGTTAAAGATAAACAATAAAAACTGGTACTCAAATCTTCAGAAATGTGTCGTATAAATATATAAAATCTTAACATAATAATATCTTGCAACTGTGCATGATGGCTGACACATCATGCACAGTTGATTAGAATATCTTCACACAGCATTTTTAATAGGTTTTGCTCTGTCTAGTCCTCAGACATTGAGTTTGGCACACTGCTGCCTGTTAGATTCAGAGGGAACACGGTGGTTAGAGCCTCATGGGTCTGTTAAGGGATTCAGTGATATTCTCAAGATGTTGTCATAACCCTGCACTAAAAAATATTATACTCAGGCCTTACTGTACACTCGGGTTCACCTCAAAAGTAAATAGTAAAATGTTCTCAAAAATGTCATCATAGAACTTATAGTAGGCTCTGGCAAGTGTCTTGTGCAGATTCTGATTCTACAGCAATTGGTCTCTGTAGAATCAGAGACTGCACAGGTTTAACTTTCAGAGGAGGTAAGCACGGAGGAAAACATAAGACACACATGAAGGGTTGATTAAAACCAAGGCTTTTTGATTAGTGTTCTTCGAACAGATTAATCAAAACTAAACTAGTTGGACAGAGTACAGATGACCCAGTCACATAATTCAAGAAAAAGAATCTTATGATTTGAAGCATGGAGGGGGAAGTGTCATGAATTTGACCTGGGGAAATCATTCTGCAAAAAGGGAATGGCGTCTCTTAACTTTCTCACAGTGATGTAGAAACTGTGACTTAGAATTACTTAAGGAGATGCTGACACTTAGCAAATTTTAAACTTTTTTTTATGTCTTGAGGACAGAAAAAACATTGAGCAGAACTGCTTTATCTCAAGCAAAATAGATCACTTTTATGAAAGTGCCCATTGACAAGTTGACTGATGCTACTGTATCTTTCTAGTCTGACATTTATTTAGTTGTCATTTTTTTGTCACTTATTAAGCATTTCTGCTTAATAAGTGCCAAAATATTAAGACAGATAATTTTTTGAAACTTTCTTTAACTGCCTGATTTTATTTTTATTTTTTTTTTCCCCTACAGTAAGCTATTTCACGTTCGACCCATCACTCAAACTGACTGTTACCGAGCAGACGTCAAAGAAATCCCTAGAATATTCCAGGTATTCTCTGATTTCTTTCTGTCCAGGTTCATCTTGTGCATAATATTATCATCAAGTAAATCCTTTTTTGCACCACATTTCATGACCTTCCTGTTTTCCTTCAGCTCTTGTATGCCAAAGAGGGTGAGAGCAAACGTGACCAGGAGGCGGTGGAGGATCCCGCACCTTGCGAACGATCCAACTACATTATGCACAAAGGTCATGAGTTCATCAGCACCATGTACCACTTGCCCTGCAGCTGTGAGGCTTGCGTCCGGCCCCTGTGGAATGTCTTCAAACCTCCGGCGGCCCTCGAGTGTCGCTGCTGCCATACCAAGTACCACAAAGACCATCTGGACAAGAAAGAAGACGTTATTGCTCCATGCAAAGGTGTTATTTCTCTCCTTTAACAAGCTCTTTTGGAGCTTCTAAAAATCTTTGTGCAGTTATCCCCACTGAACTTGTTGCAAACTGTGAAGAGGACCATTAATTTGAAGTGATTTGATTAAAATCTTAGAACAAAAAGACTGAAAAGCTCAAATCTTGGTCTTAATTTGAATCTTTTCATGTCTTCAATCTTCCCTAGTGAACTACGATATGTCCACTGCCAAAGAGCTGCTGCTGCTGACCAGCTCCCAGACGGAACAACAGCGTTGGGTCAATCACCTCCTCAAGCGCATCCCGAAGAAAAATCCAACACTAAGTCCTCCGCCGGTAGCAGGGAACAGCCCCGATCAGTACCTGCCACGCTCCTCTCCTCACGTGTCGCCGGAGTCTTCCCCCAAGGTCTCTCCTCGCCTGTCCCACCGCCGCGCCATGAAAAAACCGTCCGCCAGACAGCCGCAGACATCAGACAAGTCCAGGTGAGGGACACAGGAAACGGGTCACAAACTCATAAGCGGCAAAGCTTTGATCATCACATGCCGTAACTACAGAAGTATTCCTACCTGTCAAACATTAAAGGCATCAACTTTGATGTGATTAACTGGAATTATGTGAATGACCACCTCGGAGCAGCACATAGTTTTAGAATGAGAAGAACTTAAGTAAATTATGAATTCATGGCAGATATTTCTGGATGTACAACATGAAAAAAAATTAAATTAAATAAAAAATTGAGGGGAAGACAAGGAATGAAGGACGAAGGAGGTACGTAGGAGACAATGAAAGAAGGAAGAACACAATTGAGGATGAAAATAATAAATGGAAAGAATTAAGACAATTTTGGACTCAAGAGCAAGATATAAAAAAGGTCAGAACAATGTAAGGACAGAAAAAGATGGGAAGAATGCAAATAATGAAATGAGCAGAGGAAAGAAGGGAGGAAGAAAACGATTGAATAAATATCAAGGGAGGAAGGAATTAGGGCAACATTGAGTAAGATTTGATACAAGAAAGAAAAGAATAAAGAATATAGAAAACAGACATGTAGGACTCAAGGTTAAAAGTCCTACATTCAAAAAGATAGGAGGGAAGTATACAATAAGAAAAGGTCACAAAACTGGACTAACGGAATAAATATAGGACATTAAGAAGGGAGCAAGGGCGAAAGAAAGAACACCACATTTAGACAATGAGAAAGGGAATAAAGTATGGAAATATTTTCTATACTTTCTTCCCCCATTCTGGTTCTACTGAAATAAAATTCCAAACATTTCCACACTAAGAATAAAAATCTTCGTTTGCAAACCCATTATATGTCGACAAATTCCTTCTGTGTAGTTAAAATGTGGCAGTTTTTTTTTTTTTCTTTTATTGTGCCATAAAAAGCTGCTGCTGGGACAGAGTGTTTTTGCTTTCAGCAGACTTCCTGAGTCATTTTCACTTGCTGAACTCGGCACTAAAACACACTTATTCCTGACCTATTAGCAGAGTCACTAATCACATTATTTGAGTATTTTATTGAAGCTTTATCATCTCAGCCACTCCCTAACTGGCTTTCGTCCTGCAGCACTGGCCCTATGCTCCGCATCATTCTCCACTGACCCCTGAACTCCTCACCTCTGACCCCACATTTCTAAAATCTCTCACACTTGGAGACTGTAAGTAGGAGAAGCCTGGTGAGCCCCAACCTGCTTTGTTGCTGTGCCAATTAACACTTGCCTCATACCAAGCAGCATGTACATGCACAGTAACCCAGAAGTCAGTCCTTGCTCCACACTGTCCCCTGGTGACTGTGGCAGGTATTGCTATCAACAAAATGTCATTCCCTGAACCCTCATTGTTTCAGGCTGCTTGAGTTAGACCTGAAAGACTGGAGTTGGTCGATCGATGATGATGATGATATTTTCTTCTGAAATCGCAGAGTCAGAGGGTAACTCCACCTCTGCATGACAACTGTGTGAAAACCGTCCAGGAGCCATATTTATTATCTGAAGCATGTTTTTGTGTAAGCCCTAAATTAAACAGAAGAGTGCAAAACGAGCCTTATAGTGTGTAACTTCAAGCTTAGGGAATTTATGCAAACCTTGTAGGCGGCGTTTTCTGCATGTTTCAAGTCTTCACCACAATTGCAAACATGTCTGCAGTTTATCCCTGGATTGGTCTGTTTTCTTGTGTGTGTTTTACAGCCCTCATGGGTTTAGATGCAGGGCAGCTTCCTTGTTTTTGTATGTGTGGATTTTGTGTGGGCGTTGCCTTTGATTTCTTGCCACTCTGCTGGTTGCATCTCAAGTTTTTCTCACATTATTCTGTTTTTTTTTTTCCTACATCTCTTTTCCAGTTAACCCCGGCTGTGTTTTCATCCATGTGGATTGTATGGACCCAGTTGCCTGCACATGAAGAGTAAAGGGGGGGGAAGCCTGAAAATAATAGCGAAACACATGACAGAGATTCAGATTAACTGGCTGTTGTCATGAGAACTGGGATGGTTTTTGTCATTTTTGATGAGAGGAAACTCAACCACATCTTCATAATGAGACGGCCTTTTTTATATTCACCGATGGACTCATTCAAAATCATTTGTGACATGTTCTGCTTCTTTATGAACACTAAAAGCAGACCTGATATTATATGATTGTTACATTTTTATGGGTATTGCAGGGGCATATTATATAGGGTATCCTGTAAATGTATGAACAGAGTTTTAGAGAGGGAGGGCTTACCCTTTTTGAGCCTTAATGTCCTGGACTTGTTTTATCACACTAAATATAGCCATCACAGCATTATGGAATAATGTGAAATGTATTTCTTCTTTCAGTTCAGTATTCAGGACATTAAAAAGAAAACATACAAAACTTACAAGGATCCATTTTGTGTATTCATGTCTTACTTCAAAGCATGCTGACTAATATTTGAGGATCTCTGGAGGAGTCCATGGTATGAAGAGCCAGCAAATTGTACAAAATAAGGAGAAAAATGTAACATTTATGCAACACATTTCAATCGAAGAGCAACACAATGTTCTTTCCATCCAGACACTAAAAGCGTTTCTGCTGATGGTCCCAGCATGGTGTGCCTCTGTGGTTTCTGATCATTTTAGTTTCTTTTCCTCAGGTAGAAATTTGTCTTAGATGGTTGAAACCTGGACGTGGTTGTTCCAACAGGACACTGAATCCAAATAAATATTTGGTAAAGAAAGAAAAGGAAAACCTATTTAAACTATGGCACTTTAAATGAGCCCAGATATTTCTACGAATAATGGTCAAATAGTGTGTGTATGATCATTTGAGCCCCATGGTTATTTGAGAATAATGTATGATAAATTCCAATGTTGCCCTTTTTTAACAGCAGTCTACTACAAGGCTGTCACAAAGACAGTTTGTCCCCATTTATTTTGCTCAATATAAAAAAAAAGGACAGAAAAATCTATGTTGACCCAGAGAGCCATTAGTTGAAAACTTGGCAGACAGTTGATCTGCAGAAGGACAATGCATATTTCAGTTTTTTCACTTAATTTTTATAAGTTAGAAAGATGTGATGCTTTTCTTCTGCTTTAGATGCTTTAAAATAGTTGTAGTATTTCAGGCCATCTTGGACAACACTGCATGTTTTCCAATTATTTTTCTAAGAAAATAAAATTAGATCATTAAGTGACATCTGATCATGTATTTTAAAGCGACTGTTTTAATTGTGAAATTTTCTAGGACACTTCTGCCTGTATCTCTCAAGTGCATGAGTACTGAGTGGGCTGGTCCGAAATAAATCTTTCAAAACCCCTAAAGCCAAGTGGCTCCCACTATCTATAATGTAATGGTTCTCCATGTTTCCAAATGCTAAAATCCTATCCCATGTCAAAAGTTTTAAATATGAGCGTGACTCCACAATTTGGAAAACTTACCAGCAGATGAAACCTGCTCGACCTGCCGACTGCCTCCTCATTATGAATTCTCTTCATTTACATTTTTAAACTAATCAGTTTCTATTCAGCTGAGATCAATTCTGCATTGTGTTGGTTTTGATATTTGAACCTTCTAGTGCAAATAAAAGCCTTTAAATGAATGAGTTGCCAGGCCCAGTAGAATAAGCTAAAATTTCAGAATTTTAGCTTATTCAGTGGAGGGGGGAAAATCCCACATTGAGAAATATTTGTTGAACCCACCACCTTGTGTCCAATAGTGTACCAGTTCTTCTTCTAATAGATTTCACAATTTTGGAAAAGTCTGGAATGGATTTCTGACAATTACTATTTGGACGATCTAGAGAGATTCTGCAGATTCCTGCATCTTTCCTCATGTTGTCTTCTCAGGTTTTCTTAGAACATGAAAGAGGTTTCAATTTGATTCTGATTAACAGTTTGTGTTTTTGATTTCACCATTTGTTTTGGATCATTATCCTGCCAAAAGACTCAGTTATGACCAGTTTTCTGATAGAGATTAATTTTAAATCCCTCCCTTGCTGTGTGACCTTTTCTGCATCTTTTCAGTCACACAGAAAAATACTCCCTTTTAAGGTTTTGGACTTTCCCTGCAACTCTGTTGCAACTTCATGGCCTTGAAAAGTGACTGTGCAGGAACATTCCATTATTTACACAATAAGTAATGATTAGATCACAGGATTTGACCCCTTAAATGACAGTAATTTGCAAGTGACCATTACTGGAACAGTCTAGTTGATCCTTAACTGGAATACCGCAGTAAGTCTTTTTTTTTTTTTTTTTTTGTTTCTGAGCATTTCCTGTGAAAACTCGAATAGATTTCGGAACAGTTTTATTTGCTGTCGCTCATTTTGCAATATCTGTCCAGGTATTTAAACCTTCATGCTTTTATTCTGTTTTATTTTAGCGATGAAGTTCTGTGTTGCTGCTTTTCTCTTCCTGGCATTCTTCTGCCGCAGTGGTTTTTCCTGTCCGGCTTTGTGCAAATGCTACCCCACAAGTATGGAGGTCGTTTGTAATGAAGTTCCTCTGACAGAGTATCCATCAGCGGGTCTTCCAGAGAACACCACCATGCTGACAATTCAGCTGACAAACATCACCTCCATCTCAGAACACCACCTCAAAGCAACGCCGCTTCTGAAAGAGCTCCATCTGTATGGGAACCAGCTTCAGAGCCTCTCGTCTCATTTACTCAGAGGCGTTCCTCAGCTACATACGTTGGATCTGACCGGAAACGAGCTGAGTGATATGCCTGTAGACGTCTTCGGCGATGCTCCACTTCGAAACTTGGTTCTAAAGAACAATCAGATTAAGCGGGCAGATCCAAAGTGGCTTCCTCATAACAGCAGCCTGACCTGGTTGGACTTCTCTGAAAATCATCTAACAGAGATCCCAGTTGGTTTGTTTCAGAGGCTCCCTCACCTAGAGAATATTGACTTGTCCAACAACCGCCTGGAAAAGATGCCACCAAACTCCTTGGACCATCTGACTAAACTTGAGAGGCTAAACCTGCAAAACAACACGCTTGAGACTTTGCATGCATCTGTTTTCCAGTTCACACCCAACCTCACTTCTCTGTTTCTCTCTCAAAACAAGCTCACCAAACTCCCACAGAACCTCCTCCAGGGACTCACCAGACTCACACATCTCAGTCTGGATGACAACCAGCTCAGTCGCATCCCCAAAGGTTTCCTTGACTCGCTGAGCTCCCTTGAGGAAGGCGGACTGGACCTGTCTGGCAACCCATTACTTTGTGACAGGGAAGTAGAGTACCTGTGGCGGTGGCTTCAGAGGAACAACAAGAAGGTTTTGTTGGCAGACAACATCACTTGTGCTTTGCCTGAGTCTCTCACAGGGCGCTCAGTAATTTCCCTTACAGAAAACGATCTGAACATCGGGTCTCAACCTTCCTGATTCTGACTGTGATTAGATGTATAAAATGGCTAATTAATTTTTTTTCTTGACTGAAGTCCTTTTGGGTTAGCAGTTAGCTTTAGCTACTGGGGCTTCCTAATATGGACAAGAAGTTATGTGCTCCAAACTAGATTCTGGCTCGTCCTGACATTGCAGTGAAAAAGCTTACTCTTAGTTCTCTAGCTATCCTTTAAGAAACATTTAATATCAACAAGATTTAATACAAACTAAATGTTTAAGATTCCCCATTTGCTTGTTTTTGTCTAGGCAAGGACATGTATTCATTGATCATTTGTTAATTCAAGTACTAAAGATAATTTACCTTTACTCCAGAGAGTTGTCTGGTTGTTCTGGACTTTGACTCTTCTCAGAAAGGCTTGACGGGACTAGACTGAAATTTGCAATGATAGTTTAGCATAGCTTGCATCTACTTGTTTACTGCAAGAGTTTTAATCTAGCCGTGTTCCTTTTCGATTAAAATTTGGAGCAATTGTTCCAGCATGCCATAATTAGGTGTCGATTGGGACCATTTAAAAATTTTATGAGATTTATTTTTATGAGATTTATTTTTTCTTTCAGTCTTTTCAAATATAAAATGGTATTAGATGGGTTTCTATCAATACTAAGTGCTTGACAGTGGTTCTGAAATCTAACAAAAAATCCCACCTGTTTCTGCTTCAATTAATAAATTACATTTCACATGTCGATAATATAAAAAGAGAGGAATACGACTATTTTGTCTTCTGTTGTTGAATTTCAACCAGGATTGAATGTGAATGTAGTAGCAAGGCTTTAAGTGACATGTCTTTATCACCTCTTCCCACACATCTCTTTTATAATAAACATATATGTGAATCAGCCTTGGATGTGTTTTGGATTTTTGCTTTTAGTTTATGCATACTTAACGAAATCCTTTGCAATAGTATATGCATTGAAAAGGTTTTTTACGACACAGAAAGGAAAAGTTATTGATTTGCTTGGCTACATTGTTGCTGTTTCAAAGTACAGGAAAACGGTAGCCACTTTATTTGCTCTGTTCTGTTTGCCTTTTGCAACATTTCACCCTGATTCGCTGTCCTAATATGCTCAGCCTTGTGTGGAAAAACAGTCCAGACTTGAAAAGAGACGAGTCCCTGCTGCTCTTTTCAGGTAGGCATACGTTAACAAGAACCATTTATATGACAAAGTGTTGATTTATTCTTAAAGTGATTTTTTTTTTTTCCAGTGTTTCGCAGCAGAGATGAAGCTGTTGCTCCTGGTCACTTTCATTGCACTAGCTGAATTTGACTTCAAAAGCAGAAGTGCTCACTCGTGTCCGGATCGTTGCTCATGCGCTTTTCAGCCTTCAGCTGCAGAGGTGGTGTGCAGCAAAGGTGGCCTCACAATTTTTCCCAGAACTGGTATTCCTACCAACACCACACTATTATCCATCCAAAACACTCACCTCAGCAGCATCACTGCCGGCGATCTCGGCGCTGTGCCGTTCCTAAACAAGCTGCAGCTCTATCACACCAATCTGGCAAACATTTCCTCAGATCTATTGGTCTCCATATCCCACTTGGACACGTTGGATCTCACAGGGAACAAGCTCGTTAAATTGCCTGCGAATGTGTTCAGTAACAGCTCGCTTCGCAACCTGGTGGTAAAAAATAACCAGCTGCTGGAAGCCGACCCAGCATGGTTTTCTGGCAACAGCAGCCTTCTCTATCTGGATTTGTCCGGTAACCATCTGACCAGCATCTCAGCCGCTCTGCTTCACAAACTCCCCCTTCTGCAGACCCTGGATCTGGACGGTAACAGTCTTCAAGAGTTACACGCCGATGTGTTCAGGAACCTGCATCACCTGGAGACGTTAAATCTGGCTGGGAACAAATTAAGAACCCTAAAACCGCAATTATTTTCTCATAATTTAAATCTAAAATACCTGTACCTGCAGGAGAATCAGCTTCAGGATCTACCAGGGAACCTCCTACACAGACTTCAAAACCTTGAGCTTCTGCTGCTGAATCAGAATCGGCTTCGCCACCTTCCCACAGGCCTGCTGGATGGGGTTAATCCCTCTGTGCAGATAATCCTGACAGGGAACCCCTGGGAGTGTGATGGGAAGATGGAGTACTTGTGGAGGTGGCTCACCAACCATCGGCAAAATGTTCTCTTTGAGACAGAGGTGACGTGTGATAACCCAAACACACTAAAAAATCAGCAAATTTCATCTCTAACTCACAGCCAGCTTGGTGTAAGATTACAATGAATGGTGCAGTGAGAAAATGCAGAAACGTAAATATTTTACTTTTGTTCCCGTTTTGGTTGCATGTCAAGTAAACAAATAATGATAAACATTGCGGTGTTCTCCTGCGGTGTTTTCTTAATTTCTAATATTTTCAAATTCTCTAAAGTCCTTGAAGTGCATGCCATGAATCAATTTACAATGCTTTTTCAAACAGACTGTTTCACGTTTTGTTATGCTACAACCAAAACCGTCAGTGTATTTTATTTGTCTACTGGATTCCATGCAGTAGACAAAAGTGCTAATCGTCATTGTGTAGTGAAGGTCGTCTCCCCTGAGTCTGTAGAAAGATTTTCCACCGGAGTTGCTGCCACAAGTCTTTGGTGATGTGTCTCGATCAGAGTTGCATGTCTAGAGACTAAAGTGGTTCCACATCCTTTGCAAAACTGTTCAGTCCTAGTTTGACTAGAAACCGTGTCTGTGAACAATTTTCAAGTGTCGGCACAAATGATCAATTAAATATCTGATAATATTTTTCAAAATATATAAGTCCTTGAGGCTTACATAAAACTAAACTATGCAAGGTCATTGACTTTTACTTCAAAAGGGAATTAGTCACACTGAACTTCATTGAGTGCTTCCATTGTAAAAATGAAAATCTTTCTACTTTTTTTCAATTTTAATAGCAAATATTTTCAGAAATCACATATCTGTTGCCTTCCATTTACAGAATTGATCTGGTTGTAAAACAAAGTACAAAAATTTTCCATTTATTCTATGCCTGCTAAAATAATTGCAGTGTTCAAACACAGGAACTAAAAATACTGGACAGAAACAGACAGCTGCAGTCAAATCCCACGTTTTTATGGGTGAAGAATTGTGTGAAATTGAAGGATTTTCTCTTGTAAGATTCATGCAGAGCAGCCTTGCAACAAATCTGTCTCAATCGGCTGCATCACAGATTGCTACATTGTTTCAGTGATGCCCTTTTGTTTGTAATGATGTTCAGTGCGTGGGCATGGGTGTGTGGGCAATAAAAATGGCTGAGTCTTGAAACTGACCTCTGCTGGATGTGTTTAAATATCTGCTTCTTTCTTTGGCCATTTTCTTTATTTGTATTTGTGTGTACCATCGGTGTGCCCACACACTCCGGTCCTGCAGCCTCGATCACACTGAGGTGTGCTGGGCTCTAATTTATAACTCTTATTAAACATAAATCATAGCAGTCTCTGGATGCCAGAACTTATGGAAATGAAACCTCGCTCATAGATGTTCCCCAAAAGGCGGAAAACTAAACTTAAGACGTTTGATGTATGTCTTTCTTTATGTTTGAACTGCATCCTGAAGGTTAAAGGTAGAGGAAGTGGTTTGAATCCTAATTCTCTTTTATTAGAACCCCCTCAGGACTTGAGCATCTGTTTTGAGGAAAGTGAGTCTTCTCCTCTTTCCTTATAACTCCTGCTTCCTCTGAGGTGGGACATTTAATCTGTTTGTGCTTCTCAAAACCCCCAGGCTTGGACATATTTAAGTGGACAACTCTGCGTTTCTTGGAGAAATGGCAATAATTAGTAGGTATAGTGTTTTCTGGCTGGTGTGCTGCCAGTTGGTGTTTACTACTGATGTCTGAACAATAGTGAAACCAAAGAGGTCACAGAAAGGTTTTTCAGGCAGTTTCTGTTTTCAAGTTGTAAAAATGTAGATATTATTTCTGATAGCTGTATATATTAGACAATTTACAACACAACATTGATGTTGGCAGCTTTTTCCATATTAATTATAGTCAGTATATCAGGGTTCCTCTCCACAAGATGACAAATCATCAGTAAAACAAAACTGGCTTTTCTAAAGCCAGACATTTGGTTTTAATTATATTCAAACCAATTTGTTCCCTGCTGTAGCCCAGCAGAGAGCGATGGGAGAGCAGAGCTGCATTGCCACTTACTGACCCAACATGTACCTCACATCCAGTGACATCCACTGAAATTTGCACAATGTTACTTTAGGCGGCAACCTCAACTGGAAATATTACTGAATGACACATAACGCCTTGCAGAGACTCAGTCTACACTGATGAAATTAGATTCAGTTTTGCTTCATTAATTCTAAATGGTCTGACATGGGGGGTTGGAACTATTTATTAACTAATTCAGATTATAACAACTCAACCACTAGAGGACACTCACATACTGAGTGCAGAGCAAAAATGGGATCTTTAGATACACCAGTAAGGTAAAATAAGACACATTGCAACAAGGGCTTTATATGTTACATCAAAAGCATATCAGATGTCAAAATATTGGTTTTATGTGAACAGAATATGTTAAAAATTGAAGATGATGCAGCTTCTTGATGGATTATCACGGTTTGAGGTCTTGTGATTGTAAAGCTGAGGCAAAATGAAGGCTCTCACATTTGGGTTTATAGATGCAGTTATGGACAAGAGTAACACTAATTGGTCTCGGCAAATTCTATCTACTTCATTGGATAACAGTTTAAAAGAAAATCCCCTAAATATAACATGTATAAAAAAAAGAACACGTACAAGAATAAAAGGCCTTTTTTATCTGCTGTAGGGCCCATTTTTCTCTTCATCGTTGACATTTCTTTAGTCACACTAACCTTTTGACGTTCGGCTAAGTCTACAATAAGAAAAGAAATTGTTAGACTCGTTAAAAGCTTTTGTCATGGTGGGAGAAAAAGTCAGACTGCTTCTGCTTTTAGAAATTTAATACTATTATCATGAAACTTAATGCCCTGTAAAAAAAAAAAGAAAAAAAAAAGAAAAACATTCCAGCAAAGCCTTTTATCAATCTTCAAAAGCTTTTCGCCCACGCCTGCGAACACACACGTGCTGCTTGCACAACTAATCAATAATATAGTTAAAGGTCAGTGTGGGCCAGGGATGATCACATGCTTTCAAATGCATCTTCATTTATCATCATCTTTCAGAAATGTTCGAAATCTTATTCCCTGGCTCATAAATCTCCACTCCACATAACAGCACACTTGAGATAGTGCACAGAGGCCTTACCACATGTCTATCTTGTTATAGGTAAGGTCACTTACCCTGCCATATAATTCGGTCTTGAAAATGGCCTCTCCAGATCTCCAAGGAAATGGGCTATTAGCTGGCTTTCTGTTGATGGACATTAAGCTTAATAGTTTACCACAAACTGAGCCCATTTTCCTGATGGAATAAAGTGTTGTTGAAACCTGAGAGGCAAAATTCGAAGAGACAGCTGTTTACCGACCAGAGCATATATTTAGACATGCAGTTAATGACAACAATTGAATGCAGGTGCACATAATATATATTTTTTTTCTTTTTGAAAATGAGGAGAGAGCTTAAGGTGCTCATTTTAAGCAAAAAACACTGACCCAGTTCTGTTAGAGGATTAGTTCAGTCAAATTGGATTTCTTTTCTGAAAGAAAAGCCTCAAGGCACCAACCTCTGAAAATGTTTATCACACTGGAAACAATGTGTGCAAAATCTGAAAACAAAATTATATTAGTAAATCATATAAAAAATGCTGAGACATTGTTTTGCTCAGTAAAATAAAACATCTCCTAAAATTATTATCGAAAATATTACCAAATTAGGTCAATTATTTAATTTGTAATTTACTTTTACTTTTTGAAATATCACAGACTCTTTCTCCTTGTCAATCTTCAGAATGAGAAGATCAAAAGATTATGTCATCTAAGTATTGAAGAATATCTTTTACTACTACATAAGTAAAACTATATTGTTAATTTTGCTTGGGGATAATTTCAGACGACACCATCCACCTCTAGGTTCAGCTTGAAGAACTGCAAATCTCTTTGACCGAGGAGTGCATTACCTTTTTAAAACTGTCAGACTTTTTACTCCTCCTCAAGGACCTTCTGTTCTCCCTGACTGGAGCTGCTTTTATGAATAAGTATATCCTCCTGTGGTGAGTGAAATAAATCCTGCTGAAATTTGTCCAAGGAATTCTTTTACTACTTTTCTTAAGCCACTTGATTTTTTTCTCCAAGCAGTGGCTGATTTACATCTCCATTGGTATTCATTCATCTGTAATCAAATGCAATGACCCACACAAGAGGCAAATGTTCCAAAGGATTTTATTGCCTCCAGGCACAAAGACAGCACATTTCATCACTGTTTGACGTTTTGTATATCCACTGTGACTTGTTGAATCCGCTACCGTAAAGTGTCATGTCTGCTCATATTTTTTTCTTTTTTCTTTACATCTCAAGAGGCTTTCTGCAGTGCCTGTAACAGGACTTTCACCTGTTATATTTGTGCCTGGTGTAGAGTCATGCTGAGGTTCCGGGTTCGCAGCATGTTCAGAAAGGTCAGGGCTACTAACAGATATCATGTGTCATTAATACGCTGTGAGAGGAGGTCAGTACAGCTGTTTATGAGGTCAAGCTTGAATAAAACAGGAAGGAGCAAACAACTGCTGGAAGATTTTATAAACAACTTATGAAGGTTCAAGGTTAGGACAAGCTGTCCATCCATCCACTATTGGGGTTAGCAGATACTTAGGGAAAATCCTGACATCCCTCTCCAAATGACACCTCAGCTGATTTCGGGGAACCACATTCCCAGGTCAATAGCTCCTCTAGTGGGTTCTGAGTTTCCCCCTCCTACTTGTTTAACAAATGCCTGAAGCACGTCAACTGAATCCTTTCAGTGTGAAGCACTTCAAGCTTCAATGAGTACACTTCTGTCTCTGAGGCTGAGACAGAGAAAGCTAACTTCTGACGCTTGTCTGAAGGATCTTGTTCTCTTGATTATTAGAATTTTTAAAAGCAATCACAATTATAGCAAGCAAATGTATATTCACCAGTATTTTTACATAAATTTAGAACACCGATTATTTCTACAGAACAGTTTGTTAGGGTTAGGGTTGCAGCCTGCATCAATGTTTGATGTGTGCAGGATTATCCTTTTGATAAAACTCAAACTGGAGGAACCTGAAGATGAAACTTTCAGACAGATGTGATGGTTCCTCCTTAAGTCTCAACAAGAATGCAACAAATGCATGTCCTAAAGAGACTGCATGCAACAAGTTCCTGTGAAAATGTACTTGTTCCTTTCATGAAATTATTTTTCCACAGCAAATGACCTAATTTCACAACTCCTATTTTTGCATGCATTTCCACTCCTCTCTTATGTAACTCTTAAATGTGAGGAGTTGATCTAAATATCAGTATCCTGAGCTGAGAGGGCTTCATTTATTATGAGACAAATATAACGCATTTGCATCTAGTTTTAAGACATTTCTCCACATTAACTCGAGTAGTTTTGAGCCCGAGGCTGCACATTTCCATACTGCCAACCGTCATGTTTTCACACATAAAAAATGCATGTGTGAACGCTCTTGTAAGAAAGACGAGTCTCAGAGGACAGGTAACTCGGTTATTGACATCACGGAATCTGATTTTTATATAATACAAGCCTGAACTAATTATAATTTTTGAATCAGGACAATGATCTACTTCATCAAAGTATTTTGTCTCTGAAGAACAGGGGTCATAAGTGTACATATCCGTTCCATCAAGTCTGGTCTCAGACCAGTTTCAATAATTGGATATCTGCTTTTAAACAAAGTGGCACGGGGCCATTACTACATGGAAGATTAATTAAAATATGCCCTCTGTAAATGTTTTTAAAGCCTTTCAGTGAAGGGCATACACTACGACTTAAACAACAGACAGCTGTTTCAGCTCCTCACAATACAAGCTCTACAAAGCTGGAAAGCCCTGCCTTTTATGCTGCTGTTTATAACGCTAATTAAATCCATTTGCTAAGAAAACCCAGCAAAGGACTGATTGATTTTTAAATAAACTCTGGCGGCTTTAACCAGCTTTGGCTTTGAACAAGTTATTTGAAGCGACCTGTCCTCGAAAGGCTTGATCAAAGGAGCTCCTGCACAACAGCGATGCATAGAATCGTTGACAAGCCAAACCCTGAGCGTTGCACCGAAAAGGGAGGAACAGCGAGAATAAATATTTAAAGGTTCTGAATTTTAAATCAAACGTTGCGTATGCATTCTTGCTAGATTGAAGTTT